GAACGATCATGAAGATTAATGTAGGATTCGTGATCCGCGTCTAATTAATCCAATGAGAAGGCTAGAGCGCGGTGGTTAAATGCGCGATGACTTGAAAAAAAAAAAAAAAAAAAAAAAAGAAATGCGGACGCGAGTCGTTTCTAAAAAATAGAAAAAAATTATTGAGCGTCGCAAACAATCGAACGTTGTGTGCGCTCTTACATCCTCAAGTGTTTTGTTAAAATAATAGATAATGTCCTTACGGTAACGAACGCATTTCGGTACGGGAATGTTCCAGCCGTCGGGGGTGCAAGTCGCAACCACGCGATCCCACGTGTCGTAGCCCTCGTTGCACGTGTATATAATTTGCAGAGTGCCGTTCGCAAGAATACGCTGTTGCAGCACATATCCACGTTCCGGCGCCTGGATCGTGCAGTTGGGGCGCGTGAAAACTGAAAGTGACGAAATACGTTACGCACGCTCTCGTGTATGGATGTGTGGGTTGTGTGTGATATGGTCGCGGCAAACGAACGGGAAAGCTGCGGCTAAATATCCGAATCGAAAATTCGACGCGAGTGTCGAGGCAGGTTGAAGCTCTTTAACGAGAAATCAATTTCATCAATTATATATCTGATTTTAAATTATCACATTTGTGATCGCGAGCCATCCTCGTCGCCGTGTTTATTTTTGAGATACATATATATATGTATAAAAATATATATATATATGTATATATGTATAGTTTGATTTTAAAAAATACTCACAATCAGATTTCTCCTTCGCGCGACAAACTGCAATACCTGAAAAAAAAGACACACAACGGGAGATGTGTTGAACCGCAACAATAGTTTGCGTGAAATTAATCGAGAACGTTTACATCGCGCGTTCGATATACGGTGACGATTCGGTTGTCGGTAATTCGCAGCATCTGATGAATCTTCAATGTGAACAGAGTTCGCAAAATGTTACAACGAGACTCCGGACTCTGGCACCAGCAGAGGCGTTTAGAGTCTCGCTTAATATTTCACGCTAATAATACGAACGCTCTTTGTGACGTAGACAGAGCACTGTGCGACTGTCCTGTCGGTCGCAACAAATTTTTTTGCGCGGGACCACCAGACGCGATGGTCGCGTCAAAGAAGTGGTTAAAACAAAGTGAGAATCGTCTCTCAAGCTCGGAGAACCGAGATGATTCTTTTTTTTTTTTTTTTTTCCCTCCTCGTCCACGAAGTATCGCAAAACGGTCGAAAAATATTTCAGATTCTCTTCGATGAAATTCGAAACGAACACGATTTTGTTATACGGAGAAATTTTTCAGTCCCGCGTATCATATTTCGACGTTTTAATTGGAAAAAAAATTTTACGACGCTGTTGTAAAAAAATATTCTTTTTTTTTTGTTTTGTTTTTTTTTTATTTCTTAAATAAACGCGATAAAAGCTTTGTTGTTGCCGCAACGAAATTGACATTTATTTACGTTGCGAAATTTATGGCGCAAAATTGAACATTGTCGCGCGTATCGACCGCGCTTCTGGAAATATATTTTTCGGGCCTTTTGTGGAGTCTATTGACCGATGATAAAACGGGTAGTAAAACTTTGAACATTGCGGCTTACCTGTCCCTCGCCATTGCACAAAGTGCATCGTAAATTGTCGTGAATGTACCTACCTTACGGCGTCGTCGTGAGCGCAACGCGCGCTCTCTTCGCCTCAAAATCCTAATTTCCTCCCGTGTTCTCTCTTAGTTGTTTATTTACACGTAAAAAAAAAAAATAACGCAGTTTTTAATACAACACGAGAGTAGAAATTTTAATCGCGCGTATTCGCACGAATCATAACTCATCGTCTCGTCAACTTAAAAGCTTAAAATTAAGACCCGTTGCGCGCAGAATTAAACGGTTTAATTTCGTTTCCACGGGGGAAAAGCTCTTGAGAGCGCCGTTTCTCTAACCGAATGTCAATCGGTTAATTAAATATGAATCGCGTGAGAGGGTTCCGTTTTCGTTTCGTGCTGTGTGTGATAAAATATTCAGCTCTCGCGCGCGCGCGCGCGCGCGAACATTCGGAACCTCCTTCGGACTCTCCTTGTGGCGTGTTAAATTGACGCTAAATGTTACGCCGTGTCGAAACGAAACACACTTCGCACGACCTACCAAGACGCGTGACGCAGCTCTTCGCGAGATTAACGAAGAATTAAACGCTTAATTAAAGTAACTTGCGGGCCTCAATTTATGTAATTGACCGGTGGCGTGCGCGCGCGAGAGAGAGCTCCATTTCTCTCTCACTCACACGCTTATATATATATATATATATATATATATGTACATATATATATATATGAGAAACGGGAATTCGAGTCACTCGAGATTATTGGATTACTCCTAATTTGCATAGATCGGTAAATCAAGTCTACAAAGTCGACGGGAGTCGAGAGATCGGAGTCGAATATTCATCAAGTCAGCCTGTTCATTGGAGTTTTGCCATTTGATTGCGATCCTTCCTCCCCTTCCCCTCCCTATACTTTCGGAACGAGATGTAATAATATGGCGAAAGAGAGGATTGAAATGCCGAGACGAAACACGAGCGTTAAAAGAGTAACATATAACGATGTAATTTTCGCATTTGAACGAACGCACGCGCGTCGATGAAAACTATATTGTATCGGTGTGTATACGGTCGCGAGTATAACACCATCGTCTCGGTTCTGGATAAAAATTTATACTTTATTTTACACTCTCATGCGGGGAATGCTGCAGAATGAACGGTTAAAAAATTTTTAAAAAATTATCAGACACGTTTACAATTCTGCAAAAGATATTTTTAATGATTTCGATTAGAGGTATAATTACACAGAGTTGCAATATTTTTTATTTTAATTAAACAAATTTTGTTGCATTTGCACGCACCACCCAATTAGACTCTGAACACAAATCAGTTGATTTGTTACAAATTAATAAGTACGTTGCAAACATGTGCTTTGTAAATATACACACTGTAAATATAAATAAATTGTAAAATATAGTTACATATGGCCCACGTGTGTGTAATGTTGAGAATTTTAGTTCGACTCCACAATCGGTTTCTCTAAAATGCGAATCACTCGTTGTAACTTTTTTTTTTTATTTTACAGCGCGACAGCGTCAAGTATGATCAGGCAAACTACATAGTGCCTGATCCACATCCGTAGTGTGACTTTACTACGTAGATACCTTGCGGGAGAATTAAAAAATCATACAAAAAAAATACACGTCACCGCTTACGCTTACATTTCAATTTTCCTCGTTACTTCAGAATTTTCTTTTTGTTTCATTTTTTTTTTTTTTTTTTCCGTCAATCGTCCGTTGAGGAGACGTTGTTGCTGTGGCGTATATTGTATACTTTCTCTCCTGAAACTCCCTGTATACATCAGCGAGAGACTTCTTTCTCGAGTAGCTCTCTTTCTTTTTCTCTCTCTCTTTCTGTCTTTCTCGGTCGACGATGAGAGACGACGCGCGTATGTGCAAACGACGCGCGATCAATGATCTCGACTCCTCCGGTGTCAACGACTTTGACAGCGCGCGAAATAAAGGACGGTTAGTCACGCGCGTCCATTAAAAGGCCCCTTCATGATCGAAATCGCAGATTCGCGACGTGGTGTCTCCGGACTTAACGATATGTACACGTCCGACGTAGTCGCGGCGATCCCATCACTCCGTTCGGGCTCCGTCATGCTCCGCGAGCCACAATCGTTTGCGGATGTCGCGGCGGGAGAAGGAAGAAGTCTCTTCTGTATATACATATATCGAGAGAGACGTTCGTTCCGTCTCGCGCGGCTTAAAGAAACACGCCGCTCGAATATATATGAGAGTGAGAGAGAGAGAGAGAGAAATCATCAACGTTCGTATATATAATTTTTTTTTCTTTTCTGCATCTATCGGGAATGTTTGCTTCGAATAAATATAAAAGGCAAAATCGCGCGCGTTTTATTTTGCAATACGCGCACGCGAAAGCTTGATGAGATGTGTGTACGGCTTGTAGGAAGAAAGTAATTAATTTCCGCAGCTTTGCGCTCTTTGCGCAAAAATATATTTACACGTTCGCCGTCCGCTCCGCCGTGACCGATCGAGTCTCGAACTCGGACTCTCTCTCTCTCTCTCTCTGTCTCTCTCTTTCTCTTCGCGAGCGGCTATTTGCGAGAAATATTGCGAATGAGGGAGAGAAAAAAAGTTGCCCCCGTCGGCGTTTAAATTATTCGCGGCTTCCGTAAACAGCAATCTTTTTTCCGCGCGAGAGACGGACTTCTCGCGACGACGAAAAAGGATATCGGTCACATCGATTTATTTGCAGCCTTCTCCCGTGCCGTTGTCGCGCGCACTTTCTCGAAGCTACGAGCCGGACTGACGAGTCGGTCGGGCAAATTCCGCCGCAACAGGAACAACGTTTTCCCATTTGGCAATCCGAAACCGAAGACAATACGGCGGCGGCGGCGGCGGCGGCGGCAACGACGACGACGACGACGACGACAACGACGTCCCGTCCCGTGAATTTTTCACCCGATAAATCTGTCGTCACCAGGTTCCTAGCCGCGCAGGAATAAGTAATGATGTGCGCGCGCGAAAAGCGAAGAGAGACGTCTTCCCGGGCTATCTTTACTCATCGCGCCTCAGAGCTGAGTTTGCGCTTTCGCGCCGCATTATAGATTTTTGCTTGTTTCTTTTCTAAAAACTTTTTATAGATAATTTTGATGTACTTTTTCCGGCTCGCAGAAAGCGCGCGGCCGGCGTCAATCGGATTCGCATTCTCGCGCCGAGGAGAGATGCAAATTGTTCCGTGTTTTTTTTTTCTTTTTACACATTGAAGAATAATAATAATAATAATGATATAATTTCAATTAAAACGTGTGCCTTTTTTTTTTTTGTAGCTCGCACATACCATAACGCGTTCGAGTCAAAATGAAAAATTACATATTACGCGAGAGAGTTCGCGAAATATATTTTTCCACCTCGTTTATTAATTCCCTTTGTAAACATTGAAAAAAAACTCGGCGGAATTCCGGATTTTAAAATTCTCCGCGGCGCAATGGAAATATAGAGACGCGCGTAATAGGCAAACGTACGTGTATAATGTTTCGCCGGAGCGCGCATAAAAGAATTCCTATCAGTACGTCCGATCTGTATAAGTCCCATCAACCGCGCCAGATAGATCTCCAGGGAGAAACGAAACAGTTCCGCGGGTATCATACGGAAAAAGAGTTTCAGGCGACGTTCTCTCTCTCTCTCTCTCTCTAGCTGAAAACCGCTTCCGCGGAAGATAGCGCGAGAACTTTTCGCGTACTGGTAAAAATTTTTAGTTCTTCTCTCGCGTTAAAGAAAAGATTCTCAGAAATTCTGAGAATGAGTGGAAGCGAGAGAGTTTCTTGAGAAAAAGCTCTACGTTTGTGTGCGCCGGGACGCTATCGTATCGCACCGAGTCCGCGAAAGGCTGTTTGACCCCGACGCAATTTATTGCGGAAGAAACCGGCGACTGTATAGAGAGAGAGAGACGGAGGAGGCTTTGGGTAACACACTCGGGGGGTATCAAGTTCGCGTGTGCCACAAACCGTTCGTCGCTTATCATAACGGATATTAGCGACCGCAAGAGAGAGAGAGAAAGAGAACGAGAGAGACGTTGAAAGAGACGGTGTCCGGTTCCTTCGATGTCGCGATCTTATGTCACGCGTTCTTACGATCGAAGAATTCTTGAACGTATTCTGACAGATCGCTCGCGCGCACACGCGTATTTTTAGCGATCCTCGGTAACTGACCTCGATCTGTGCGTTACAGAA